AACCGGTGATGCAAAGTTTGTAGCTCTTCAGGCTGACGGCCGATGCAGTCACGAACATTCCGGAGTGTCGTGATGTTGCGCTGACGGAAGTGGGATGTTGGACCGTTTGGCTAGTGCGAGGCACGTCGGTGGAAACCCCCTGGTGAGGCGACGGTGGTCGCCGAAACGCGTCGGGGACGCTATCCTTGTTCGTATGCTTTCTATCTGTCGTAATTGGTTATAACTTTGCTCGTCGAACTTATGTCTTTTCGGTACTCTGTGCTGCTTTGACGTATCTCGACTTGAAGTGTTCGTTCACTTTGTCATCTATCAACTATCGATTGCGCACATTAACATTCTTGGAGAGACGTTACCAAGAGTAGTGAGCGTGCTCGTTCCTGTCCTAGTGTGTCCTCTACGACAAGCAACTAAGAAGGAGTGAGGAGGTGCCTAGTGTCTGGAAACAACTGGATTTTGGTGTTTGGAGACCGAAGTATCCAAGTGGTGAAGATGAGTGATCGAAGGGAGCACTCACGAAGGGATCACCGTTCAAGCAATGAAGATCGTTCCGGCTACCGTAGCAATGACCGTGGATACGAGCGGGAGAGAGCCTACCGAAGATCGCCACCGCGATGTTTCTCTTGCAGTGAACGGGGGCACTACGCTAATCAGTGCCCTAACAGGAGTCGGCCTTCTACATCATTTGATGTGAGAAGGGGTAGATCTACATCTCCGTCGAGGGAGAGCACGAGTAAAGCACAAGAAGCAGTGGTTCTCCAACGACAGATTGAAGAGCTTAACAAAAGCCTGGCTTCAGTGTCTGAGTTTGTATTGGCTGAGAAGACGAAGCGCGCAGAGGAAGAACGACTACGCCAGGTAGCAGAGGAGGAACAATAGCGGATTAGGAACGAAAAGGAACTACGCGAGAAGAAGGAGAGAAAGCTACGCGCTAAACTACAAAAGGAAGCTGAACGTGATGCAGAGATGGAAAAGAAGATGGAAATGCGATTGGCGGCTCGAACGGACGACTTCTTTAACAAGATGGAGGAGAGTTTGGGTCCAGTACTTGAGTTCGCCAAGAAGGCTAAAGGTAAGAAGAAGATCAGGGTTCTATCTAACGATGAAACATCGGCGCAAAGCAGTGGGAGCGAGACTGAGCAGCTGCACAAGAAAGCAGGGAAATTAACAATTAGTGAGAAGCGGAAGCGGGGCCCCGAACCTGTCTTTGAAGACAGCCCACAGATGATTACTCCATCGAAGCGGACGCCGCGTACAAAGGCGAAGGAAGGTGTGGCAGTGGGACGGATCACATGCTCGCGCAGCAAGATCAAGACTAAGTTATCGCCATTGATTGCGAGGCAGAAAAGTCCGGGGGGATCAGAGGTACTGGCCAAGCTACAGTTTCGTAACCAAGCTATTGATGAAATCAGAGGGTTGGATGCGCAGGAGCTCCAACTTATTTGTAAGAATGAAGGTGTGAACTACAACGGCAAGATCGAGGCAATCTTTGATATTGCCAGTCACTATACGAGAGTTGCATTCGGTGAAATTGAGGGTACTACGATGTCCGAGTCTGGAGAACGTGAGGAGGAAGACTCGACAACGGTTGATGCCGAGGAACCTGATTGCGATGTTTGAGATCGGTACGGAACTGATGAGATATGGGGTATGGTCCGTGAGTTGACTAATTTCAGGGAAGTGACGGAACGACCTGACAGCTTGGTGGAAGAAATTCTGAGAATCGACATTATCCTGCTAGCTTTGCGAGGCGAGATTAGATGGCTACGAAGATGCTTTGCATCGTGGAGGAAGCTATTTGAATTGTATGGCGCTGACTTTGGCAATATTAAATGTTGCGTGTATGTAGCGGTGTCACCTTACTGCAAACACCAATATATTGGGAGAACGAATCGAGGCGTCGATATCCGGTGGAGTGAGCACCGCGCTGCATGCCGCACGAAGAAGCGCACGCATTTTCATCGCTGGATGGGATCATTTGGAATAGGGAACTACGCCCTCCTACCGATTAAGTATGGTAACGCTGCCGGGGTGCATGACCTCAAACAGACCTATATCAAGGCCTGGTCTCCTTTTCTCAATACTGCAGGAGTGAAGAAGAATGGGGGTGGGAAGCGGAAAAGCAAAGGGAGAAGAGAGAGGAAGGAGGGATTATGCACGACGGGGAAGCTAATCACACCAGTGAGGGTGAGGCGATCCGATACGGAGGCTTGGTCCGTCGACCTACTCAAGTTACTTCTGGAGAATGAAGAGGCGGGAGTTCGAAGCTTTTCGATTATCTCGAGCGGGGCTGATGTGTGGGCGAAAGGCTGGAAGAAGATTAGGAAGCGCTTTGGAGATTCGCTAGTGAAGGGTGCCAAGGGAAAGGTTTCATTGAAGCATTGTAAGAAGTTGTTTGAAATCGGTGGTTTGATTGTGGTCGACAGTTTGCGTATTTGGAAATCCGGAGGAGGTTTCTTGAAGCGAATTTTGACTTCGCTATTGAAGAACCCGTTGGTGTTGTCTGACCTTAAGTCTTGGAGTCTGAAGTCTCTGATACGACTGTATAACGTAGCTAAGGATTTTCAAAAGAAGTCAACTCGTCGGTATCTACGCCGTCTGTTATCTCGATGTATCCGGGATTGTTTTGGGTTGAGTATGTCTATCGATCTGACAGTTCGTGTTAAATTTGATGACCGTATCAAGCTTGTGGAGGTACGGAAGCTAGTTAACGATGTTATCATGAAGTGTGAATTACCACTGGTCTATAAGAAACGTGCTCGGAAGAAGGTCAAAATTGTGTGGACTAAAAATCCATCAATAGGTGATCTAATCCATAACCAACGAGCGTTTGTTGCTCGTTCGGTTTCTACCTGTGTTTGTGTAGGGTCGTTCTACCCAAGAGTGGGAGGGCATGCATGTTTTCGACTTAGTCAAGGTGAGCCACACCATGGTTTGCTAGCCAACGCTAATGATGTTCCGAGGGATAGACATGACGACAGAGTGTGTAAGCTTGGGAAGGAGGTAGAAGAAAGCTTCATGGGGTGGAATAATTTTAGAGGTCGTTGTCGGGTTCTCGACATGTGTCGTTTGAAGGCATGCCTATAGATGACGCTGGATGACGTATCGAAATTGAGGGTCTCCGACGTTACCAAAGTCAAAGGTGAGTTCGAGGGGTTTGTCCTTACGCCATTGGATATGAACCTCGATGAGACCTTGGTATTATGCCCATCGGTATACCATTCAGCCATGATGGATACCTTCGTGATCAAACCGGGTTATCAGATTGTCCAACATCCTGTTGGGGAGATGCGTGAAGATCTGCGTGGGGTAGGCCTTGAGAGGTTCGCACTGTGGGATGGGAGGGGGAAGATCGGCACGTCGTATGTGCTACCGAAACACAAGGATGTAGCGAGGTATAGACCCATCTGTCCGACGTTTAGTGAACCGTTGGTCCGAACTGGAAGGCTGGTGTCAAAGGCACTTAATCATTTGCTGTTTCGGCTGCCTGTTGGCCAACACTTCAACCTACAGGTTGTATCCCACCTTGCAAGGAATTTGTAAGGGGTTAACAATAGGATNAATCATTTGCTGTTTCGGCTGCCTGTTGGCCAACACTTCAACCTACAGGTTGTATCCCACCTTGCAAGGAATTTGTAAGGGGTTAACAATAGGATTGATCGCTTACCGAAGGGGGAAGTAAGGTCAGCCGCTTATGACATCAAAGAGATGTTCAGTCGGCTCCCCCATTCGAAAATTTTGATTGCAGTTGAGTGGATCACTGCGCACTATCTGAACAAGGGTATTTCATTTGTTCGTGTGAACACACGTGGGAAGGGCGCAACCTTTGGCATGACTACGGGAGCGGATCAATGGAAGCGGCTGGATCTCGTAGAAATAGTGGAATTTGTGTAATTGGATTTAATGCACACTTTCACTACTGCTACCGGGGTCCTGCTTCGACAGATTGTCGGAATCCCGATGGGTAAGAGTACCAGTCCGCCGCTGGCCTGTATCTTGTGTGCATTCTGTGAGATGAAGTTTGTTTCATCCTTGGGTAATTTGAGGAGGAACGTGTTTGGCCTGCGGCTCATCGATGACGTCATCGTGATGACTGCATCACTTGAACCGAGCACTTATGAGCGGATACTGAGAATGTTTGAATCATGTTACCCGGAGGGATTGACCCTGAAGAGGACAGATAACGGGAATGGAATATTGCAGTATTTGGGATGCGAAGTCCGCACGAAACAAACATTTCCCTTCTTCGGCTCAGTGCAGTTGGCAAAGAACGAGGAGTCTGTATGGGGGGATGGGAATCTGGTATTTCAGAATGGCCAAACTCATGCATCATGGGGTAGCAAGCAGTCGAAGAACACGATCATTGGCGGGCACCTGCACCGGATCGATCAGAACACTACGATACGTTCTGAGATCCCCCTGCGGGTGTTGACAGTCAAGAGGGAGCTCCGCCTGAAGCAGTTCCTGCAAGATAGCTTCGACAGGGTCTTGAAACGGTTCGCTGTGGGCAAGGATGTTAATTGGAAGAACGCAGTGAAACTTCTGTGTAATAGTTAGCCTATGTAGGGAGATTTGTTGTGAGGAAGGACGATGGTGGATTGAAGATATGTGGGTTTGGTATGTGTGAATGTGACATCGTTTTGTCGTTGTTGTATGATAGGCTGATCAGACAATGAAATGCTCCGTCGTCTAGTTCAGTTGGATGTATGAACAGGGGTTGACGAATGGTGTTGCAGGAGTAAATGGCTAGGCTTGGTTATATGATGTCTGAATAGGGCAATAGCGTAGGTTTTTGTTTG